GTGACTGGATTAAAAAAAAGAAGTTTGACAACACACAGAAGAAGCCCAAGAAGATTAATTGGACATTACTAACAGTTTAATTTACCAGTTTATATATCACTCAGCTTTCTCTTTCTCCCACTGTCTACCCTTCCCATTTCTTCTTTTAAGCGAAATACCTCCCCTTTTTAGGGGAGTCAATAAAACCTTTATTAAAAAAAAAAAGTAAGGCATTTTTTTCTCAGGGCGAAGCTTCGCCTGAGCGCATATCACTTAGTTTTAAAAAAAATGGCCGGGGAAAGCCGGAAGCCTCAGGCTTCCGACGGAAGTAGCTGGGGAACGGAGGAGAGCGATCAGACGCCGGGGTGCACCGATTACAACCGTTGCACTCTGTTTACCACCACTTCGGACCTAGTGGCAGACTGCAACGGTGTAAAGGGATTTATAATGGTTAGGGACTGGAGGCAGATGTTCGCCGTGTGAACGCCCGTAAGTACACCGGTTGGAACCGGCACCTTAACCGTTGTAAATCCCCCGTCTGAACGCACCCTGTGGGTGAAGAAGTACTTCCTTTTATCTGTTCTAACCCGACCGCCCAGCAATTTCATGGAGTGCCCACGAGCTCTTGTATTGTGAGAAAGGGAGAAAAGTACCTCTTTCTCTACCTGCTCTATCCCATGCATATGCTTGTAAACCTCGATCATGTCACCCCTCAGCCTTTGTTTCTCCAAGCTAAAGAGCCCCAAGCACTTTAACCTTTCTTCATAGAGAATATATATGAACACTCAAAAGAGTCTATAAGTGAATGGTACTCACGCCATCACTTGCAAAGAGCTACATTCACAATTACTTTTTTTTGCCATCAAATCACAGCTGCCTTATGGCACCCCCGTGGGGATTTCAAGGCAAGAGACGTTCAGAGGTGGTTTGTCCTTGCCTGCCTCTGCATCATGCCCCAGACTTCCCTGGTGGTCTCCCATCCAAATACTAACCAGGGCCAACCCTGCTTAGCTTCTGAGATCTGATGAGATCAGGCTAGCCTGGGCTATCCAGGCCAGGGCACCTTCACAATTACCCTCGAGCTATGTGATTGCTAGCTGTGTGCCACCCCACTCTTTTCTCTTTTTTTGCCATCAAGTCAAGCTGACTTCTGGCGATCCCTAGTGGTGCTTGAAGGCAGGGGATGTTCAGCGGTGGCCTGCCATAAGCTGCCTCAGTGTCATCACCCTGGTATTCCTTGGAGGCCTCCCATCCAAATACTAGCCAGGGCTGGCCCTGCTTAGCTTCCGAGATCTGATGAGATTGGTCTTCCCTGGGCTATCCAGGTCAAGGCTAGCCCACTCTCTCTTCAGCCCAGTAGCTCACACTAGAGTGAGACTGCCACAGTGCTGAGATCTGACGAGATCAGGCTTGGCTGGGCTGTCCAGGTCAGGGCCATCTCACTGTTTGATGTAGTTTGGTGTAGTGGCTAAGAGCAGCAGACTCTAATCTGGAGAACCGGGTTTGATTCCCCCTCTTCACATGAAGCCAGCTGGGTGACCTCGGGTCAGTCACAGTTCTCTCAGAGCTCTCTCAGCCCCACTTATCTCACAGGGTGCCTGTTGTGGGGTGAGGAAGGGAAGGAGATTGTAAGCTGCTCTGAGGCTCCAGGTGAAGGGCAGGGTACAAAAACCAACTCTTCTTCTTCTTCTCTTAGCAGGAGGCCCAGTAGCTCACACTAGAGTGAGGCTGCCACGGTGCCCAGAGGAGAGCAAACCGGCTGTGGAGGAAGGAAGGGGAGCAAAATCACTACACACACACCCCTCCACTGTGGGCAGCTTGCTCTTTTCCCAGAGGGCGGCTGTGGTGGCGATTCTACTCTTTCTTCTTGGCTGACAGCTTGCCCTCCTTCCGGGAGCTGGGATGAGATAGCAGAGGCTGCAGAGAAGGGTGGAGGGGAGTAGCGTGAGAGGACAGGGAGTTCACCCTCCATCCCTGGTATGCGGCTTGGACCTCATCAGGAGGCTCACAGCTTCAGTCCCTCTGATGGTTGCTGTGTCATAGTGCATACCACCTTCCTACCACAAGCCTACTGGACAAAGGCCTTGCCCGCTTTCCTGGTACATCGGTGGATGCCACATTTGAGAGCAGTGCTCAGAAGGAGCCGCGGCTTGCATGTCAAAGAGCCACAAGTGGCTCCTAAGCCACTGAGCATCGCTGCTATAAATGCTTACTATTACCACTGTTTTCTTCATTTTCCAGTCCTCCTCTCCCGCACAACAGAGCCGATTTGTTTGACCTGAGTAAAGACCAGATCGTTAACCTGGCCTACATTTCTTCCGTGCCTCACAATGGCATCGAACAAGTGCGGATCCACTGGCTGCTGGAACTTATTCGAGTTGGGTAAGTCAGAGTTCTATATTCAATCGTTTGTGGCTCATTTTATCTGAAGGCGCCTGGCACAGGCTCCGTGGCGTAATCTAATTGAGTCTTACCTTGCTAGCTGTTTGGAGGGGAAAGAGGCCTCGTGGGAAGGGCCCATGAACCGTACTCTGAATTCTTTTGAAGAAGAGAGGGAACCGAAGCGCAAGAGTAAAATAAAAGGGACTATGGACAGAGGTGACTGGCTCATGCATCCTTGGCAGTGCGGTCCCATGCACTGCTACCCCAAGCAGCATTTCTGTATTTCAGCAGGCACAGACCGGTGCAACTCTGCATAAGACTGCAATGTTGGCCTTGTAATTAATTCTGCAAAAGTAGCTGGCCTGCTTGCCATGCTGGGAAAGGGAGCTCCAAACTGCATGCTGGAGAAGCTTTTCGAGCAAAAGGCTAAGCAGTTCCCAGGAAATGGTAGCTTGGCTTACCATTGCTGATCTTCTCCAAGTGCAGTCACACAGGAAAGCATCAGTTCGTGCTGAACAACGAGAAGCCCCAAAGGCTGGGCCGGTTCCCAGCATGAATGGCAAGTGCCGTCTAGAAAGGGCCCCAGATCCTAAAATGTACACTTTCTGTATTTCAGCAGGCACAGACCGGTGCAACTCTGCATAAGACTGCAATGTTGGCCTTGTAATTAATTCTGCAAAAGTAACTGGCCTGCTTGCCATGCTGGGAAAGGGAGCTCCAAGCTGCATGCTGGAGAAGCTTTTCGAGCAAAAGGCTAAGCAGTTCCCAGGAAATGGTAGCTTGGCTACCATTGCTGATCTTCTCCAAATGCAGTCACACAGGAAAGCATCGTGCAGATGCTGGAGATTCTCAGTTCGTGCTGAACAACGAGAAGCCCCAAAGGCTGGGCCGGTTCCCAGCATGAATGGCAAGTGCCGTCTAGAAAGGGCCCCAGATCCTAAAATGTACACAAGTACCGTCAAGTAGCAACCAACTTGGGGTGACCCCACCTTTCAAGCAAGTGAGAAGCAGAGGTGGTCTGCCGTTGCCTTCCTCTGCAGGGCCTTCCTGGGTGATTTGCCATTCAAATACCAACGTGTCTTAGCTGCCGCACGATCGGATGAGGTCAGGCTATATACCGTGCTACCTTCCCTCCTAGATCCTAGGAAGGGTCTTCTAAAGGGCCCTGCACCAGGGATTCCATGGGAAACATTCCGAGGGGAGGGGTTTTGTCAGTAGACAAATTCTGTGCCAAAAGGGATAAGAACTTTTAAAAC